ATATATATATATATATATATATATATGACGTTATAGGCTTGTTGCTCTGATAGTAAGGATGAATAGGTAGACTAAGACTGCCGTGAAGAACTTCATGATTTATTGCAAACGTTTCGAAGACAATCAAATCTCCATCGTCAGTGCTATGATTAATGAACCAAAAAGATAAAAATGCAGTTAGACAAATTGAAATAAAAACAGTTCAAATTGGTATACAAAATCTCCTTTAACTACCAATCAGTATACTATAGAAAATTCTGCATCTTTTGCAAATGAAATCACATCTCTTAACTTTAAACAACCAATCACCATGGCGAGTTTTCATATAGAGTCACTCTTTACTAATGTTCCCCTTATTGAAACCACAGATATTATAGTAAACAATTTAGACATCTCCCAGCTTGCCAAAATAGGATTAACAAAAGACAACTTCAGAAAATTACTGGAGCTTGCCGCCCATCGTTCAGTGTTTACCTTTGATGACTTTATACCCAAACAGACGGGGTAGCTATGGGCTCCCCACTGGGCCCTTCCTACCCCAATGCATTTCTATTCTACCACGAAAATAAATGGCTTGAGCAGTGTCCGCCAGAATTCAAACCTTTACACTACCGATGATACATTGATGACACTTCCGTTCTCTTTAGACATCCGTCTCACGTAAATCTGTTTCTAAATCATCTGAATTCCAAACACCCGAGTATTAAATTCACCCACGAAATACAACAAAACAACCAACTACCTTTCTTGGATACCGTTGTTACCAATGATAATAGCCTCTTTCATACTAGCATCTACCGTAAACCGACCTTCACTGGCCTCGGCCTCCATTTCCTTAGCTATACCCCTTATATATACAAATTAAACAGCATAAAAACACTCATCAACAGAGCCTACAACCTATGTAGTAGCTGGTCTACTTTCCATGATGAAATGATTTTTCTAAAAAAAAGTTCTTTGTAACAAATGGATACCCATTACATATTTTTCTGTTCCTGTGTAATATATTCTCAAATAAACTTTATATGCCAACTGTTAAGAGAGATCACAAATATATAAAATTACCATACATGGGTAAACTAAGTTTTGAAGTAAGAAAACAATTAAAATCTCTCCTCCGTAAGAATTACCCCCAAATTAAGTTTATTAAGTATTTAATTTAAGTTTAAATTAACTTTTGTCTTTAACAACACTAACACCATTTATAACTTCTTAAAACAACCTAGGAGTTGCCATTCTGACCTATGTTCTTATGTAGTGTATTTATTTACCTGTCCTAGCTGCCAAGCAAGGTACGTGGGGTCAACCTCACGATGGTTA